TAGAAGCAGTGACCAATCAGAGCCGGAGTTGGCCGGGCTCGGCCCGGGGCAGGAGGGGCGGCCGGGCTCACGCGCTCCTGCTCGCCATGGCAACCGGACCCTTGGCCGCCCAGTGTGTGTCGAGTGTGTGCGGGCGTGGCCGTGCACGGTCGCGAGTGTGCGCCTCGGACAGCGCGAAGGGAAGCCGCTTCGTCATGCGTGCTGGTGCCTGCGGGAGTCGGAGCTCACGCCTCCCTCACACACATGCACACACACACACACACACCCACACACCTCCAATCATTTGCGGGCGTGGATGGGGATTCCTAGTCTCCGTCCTCACCGCCAAAGCCAATCCCCCGCAGCCGGCCCTAACGCGCGTCATCACAAATCTCTCTCGCACCTCTCCAACCACTTTACTCGAGAGCCTGGAGCATCTTCATCTTCATCTCCGGCTCCTCTGACGTCCTAACAGGGGAAAGAAGAATGGAAAAACCAGGCACTCGTAACACTCCCTGAACAGATTCCTCTTGAAGAGCCAGCGGGAACCCATATGAGCAATCCTTTCGTCACCCCGTTGTGGGGGTGCCAAGTGCCTGGGTCACCCCCAGTTTTCTGGGAGCGAGCGAGGCCGAGCATCTTCCGGAAAAGGAAGTCAGGGCTCAAAGAGGTTAGGGACGGACCCTCCCCCAACATTTGCTGGACCACGGGCAGGAGTGCACACAGAAGTCCACGTAGCACGTGTCCAAACATGTAAAAGTTATAAACCAAGCGTACAATTTGCTAAATGTTCTCTTATTCTCACAATTACATATTCATAATAATAAGCCTGAAAAGTGCGAGGTTATGTTTTATAGATATGAGTACAAGTTGACAAAATATCATGAGCGACAGAATTTTATTATTCTTCACATGTCTGGCAAGTCTCTTGATGGGCCAGACGTTTCTATGTAAAAATAATACAATAAAGAGATATAATAAATTATACATTTTTCATAAAAATATTTCTGCCATAAAATTTCTATTTCTACTGCTTTGATTGGTTTTTAGTAAACCGCGTCTGTTGGCCATTACGAGAAACTACTGGAGTGCAGTCATAGCAACGAATCACTGACAAATATTCCATCAATATGCAGAGGAAAATCATTATTTTTTCTATTTTTTCCATTTAATAGGAAATTACGCCTTGTAACTAATGACCATGAAATGGGTTTTCAGACATTTTTCTTTTGTTCAGTTCAATGCATTTTGAAAATTTCTTTGCATCTTCTTTGTTGATTAGAGAATATTTAGAACCATGTCGTTTAGATTCCCAATGCTTGGTTATTTCCCTGTTGCCAGAGAAAGCACCTAAAGTATACCTAAATAACTCTATAATTTAATTTCATTTGCATATGTACAGGGTTGGTTTTGTTTGTTTGGGGTTTTTTGGGGAGGCAGTCATGAAATGATCTATCTTGGGAACTTTTCTGTCAGTTCTTAAAATAATCTGTATTCTACTGTTGTATAATTTTTATAAATGTCTTGGTATTTTATCAATGTCAGTTAGATCCTGTTGGTTGATAGTGTGGTTGATTATATCTGTATTTTTACTGATTTTCTGTCTAGTCCATTTTATCAGTTGTTGAGAGAGGGGCATTGGAAATCTCAAATGACAATCATGAATTTGTCTATTTCTCCTTTCACTTGTCAGTTTTTCCTTCACATATTTTGGAACTCTGTTTGCAGCACACACATTTAGGATCCCTATAACAATAATTTTAAGCATGGCACAAGACTGAGCAGTGTGTCTCATTCCGTTGTACATAGGGTTGCTATGTACACCCAACAACAACAATATGTCTTCTTGATGGGTTGACTCTTTTATAATTATGTAATGTCACTCTCTGTTACTAATAAATGTGTTGCTTTGAGTTCTACGTTATCTCACATTGCTTTCTTTTGATTAATATTTACAGAGCATATAATTTTTTGTCCATTTACTTCCAAGCTCTCTTTAACTGCCATCAAGTTAATTCTAGCGCATAGTGACCCTATAGGACAGAGTGGAACTGCTCCTGTGATTTCTGAGGCTATCAACCTTTACAGGAGCAGAAAGGCTCACCTTCTCCCCGAGAAGCAGCTGTCCTTGTGGGTAGTGGCTCAGTAGCCCAGTATACCACTGGGGCTTCTTTCAACTCACTTACTGTCACTACCATATTTGAAGTGAGCTTCCGGTAGACAACATACAATCTTTTTATTCATTCTGCCAGTTATTGTCTTTTCAAGGATTTATTACCATTTACATTGAGTGCAATTATTGCCATGGTAGGGCTGAAGTCTGCCATGTAATTATTATCTTCTATTTGCTCACTCTATTCTTCATGTCTCTGTTTTATTTTCCCTGCCTTCCATGGATTACTTGTTCCTTCTTATACACATTACATTATACCTAAATAACTTATTGTAGTCTACAGGTGTTTATATTTTCCCAATTCAAATGAAGTGTAGAAACCTTACCTACCTTTAAGTCACCATACTCTCCTTCATTTATAATGGTCTTAAATATTTTCTTTGCACATCAGATTATATAACTTTTCCTTTAATTAACTGTCAACCATAATTTAGAAAATTTAAGGGAAGGAAAGACTATTGTATAGATTCATAGTTTTCATTATCTCCAGCATTCTTTTTTCCCTAATATTCCAAGTCTTCTTCTTTTATCATTTCATTTCCATCTCAACAACTTCCTTTAGTCAGTCTGTTAGAGGAGTTCAGCTGGTAACCAATCCTCTTAGTTTTTCTTCAACTGAGTGTCTTATTTTCCCTTTCATTCTCTTCTGGAGGGTACTGGTGGTGGTGATGAAAATATGAACATCAAAGCAACTAGTCAGTATAGCACTCACTTTATACATATACATTTCAGTGAGATTGACTACATTCTTCATGTTGTACAACTATTATTACTATATATTTTTTCAAATTATATTACAGTTAACTTGCCAGATTTATACTTTCTTTTAGCAATATGTTGTAGTTTTCAGTGTATGAGGTTTTCAAGTCCTTTGTCAATTGTATACCTACGTGTTTCAATTTTTTAATGCTATCTTAAGTGGTGTTTTTAAAATGTCCATTTCTGATAGTTTGTTGATTATCGATAGGAATATATTTGACTTTTGAATATTGATCTGTGTCCTGTGACTCAGTTATTAGTTTTAGTAGCTTAAAAAAATAGATCCAATTGTATTTTCTACATAGGTGATCATACCATCTGTAAATAAAGACCAATTTACTACTTGGTATTGTTTCTGGCAGACTAGGGGTCCCGGAGTGCCTGTCATTGTTTTTGCCAAAGACAGCGATCAGGTTAATTTGAGAAATTCTAAGTTTATTTCTGCAAGCTCTGACAGAAGGAAACAGTGGGGCTTGCTACCTTCACACTGTTTCAAAAATCCAGTGAAAGTCAAGCAAATTACATACCAAAAGCTTTGTGACAGAAGCAGGTTTCACAATGACTACAGGAAGAAATTTGCAGGTTTTTCACAATGATCACAGGATATGAATACTATTCTAAAAAGGCAGGTTTTACAGTGATCATTAGGAAATGATCTATACTTACTTTTCTTCACGGGCCATTAGACCACCCTCCCCTGAAACTTCATGCACTCTTATTTTTCTAAACTGGAGGATGTATCCTTGCCTGCCCTTAACAGACCACCATTCCTGAGCTCACTGAGTAGGAAATGCTTCTTGCCTGGCTACTTATCTTAATGGCCTTACTGAGGCCTCCTTCCTATGTTAGGGCATCCCTATTGATGAAGCTCAAAAGGAACTTTTACTGCAAGTGAGGGGGCTGTTAAATGCTGGGTTTTTAACTAAATATACAAATATGTTAGAATTTATTGCTTTGGTTCACAGCAGGCTAACTTCCTCTATTGGAATGTTTGCTAAGTTTGAGTCCATGTCGTGGCTAATTGTCTCAATCTATCACGTTAAAGATTTACCCCATTTTTGTTGGCCCTCTGCCACACATGATGCTCTTTTCTAGAGATTGGTCTTTCCTGATACTATATCAAGATAAGCCCCTGAATTACTATTCAAAACTCAAAGCACACTCATTGCCCTCAAGTCAATGCAGACTCATAACAGCTCCTCTGCAGGTTTCTGAGCCTGTAACTGTTTACAGGAGTAGGAAGCCCAGTCTTTCCTCACTGGTGGTTTTGAACTGCTGACCATGTGAATTGCAGCCCAATGAGGAATTTTATACCCTTCTTGAATGATGAGGAACCCTGAGTGGTATAGTAGTGATATGGTGGCTGTTAACCACAAGGTCAGCTAGTTCAAAACCACCAGCTGCTCCTCAGGATAAAGATGAGGCTTTCTACACTCCTAAAGAGTTACAGTCTCTGAATCTCACAGGGGAAGTTCTACTAACCCTGCTAATAGGGTTGCTGAGTAAGCATTGACTCAACCACAGTGAATTTTTTGAATAATGAAAGAACCCCCAAAACTTTAACTCCATTCTCTACCTTTGCCCTGGCTTTAAATATTTTAAAAAGTATATTAACATGCTTAAATACCAGAAGAATCATTATTATAGCTT